TTCCTCCTACCTCTCTCCAATTGAGATGCAAATTAATCTTCTCTGCTGATTAAATTCTCCTTAATCTGACTGTCAAGTGCAGATGTAATCGGAGTTTACAGTCGAGCAATAAAAGCTGTCAGAATGAGGGAGTGTTTTGTTCACAGACATATTATGAAAACGGCAAGATTTACTGTATGGATTTTTAAAATTCAACTCCACTGCATCAACAAGTAATGCAACATGCCAAAAAATGTCCTCGGAGGTTATTTAATTGTCTGTGCTCAATTTCTTCCTTAGGATTTGTTTGATATTCAAGGTCTGTGAAGCATGTTGCTCCTTCATATAATTCATTGCATCACAGAAAATAAAGTAGATGTTCAAGAGTATCTCTACTACTGAAATGGTGTTAAAATGGCCTGTATTATTCTATTAACAACTTCAATTTGATAACTAATTCATTATCAAGGAACTGAATTTCAGTCAAACCCAGGAATACACATTACAATAATATAAAAGCAAAATATGCAGATCCTGAAAATCTGAAACTATCACAAAGAATGCTGAAGAAATTCAGCAGATCGGACAGCATTTTCATTTCAAGATGGCAGCAGAGTAGGCAGCATCTGGGCTGAGCACAGGACTCGTCCAGTCCATCTGTTTTTCTTATTTTCTCTTTTATTTCCTCTCTTGTTTTGAGTTTTTTTCAACTTACCTTTTGAAGAGAGATCAGGTCCAGAGCATGGCAGCAGCTGGGGCCTGGAGTGGGACCTTGCTGCTTGGCAAAGAGGTGGCTGGTGTGCTGGGTGGGACTCTAGCACTTGCCAGCATTGCAGCATCATTGACCTCCTGAATGGTCACCGGCGAGGCAGCTGGTGAGACCAGGCGGCAGTCTGTGATGAGACGTGGGACTCTTATCAGTTGGCGGTGACAGCATCATGGAGGAAATCGAGCCCAGCGTGGCAAACAGAAAGACAGCAATCGAGCCCAGCATGGAGGGGGGAGGGACATCAAGCCCTTGTGGGGAGTGTGGACCCTTGTAGGGAAAGCTCAGTGTGGAGCAACTGCAGGCCCATGGCTAAATGGACCATGACTGTACTGTTGAACTTTTGACTTTAGTTCCTACTTTATACTAAGAAGAACTGTAATTTTGAACTTTTATCTTATTTCTTTATTTTTCTACTTTCTAAGATCTTGTACCTAAGTATCTTTGTACCTAAGATGGCGCCAGGAATGGGGACTTTATACACTTTTCACTGCACTCCTGTATCCTTGTACTTGAGTACACGCAACAATAAAACGTAATTCTAAATCATTTGTGGAGACAGAAACAGAGATAATTTTTCCAGTCTGGTATGACTTCTTTTGTTCTGAAGTAAATTCACAGATGCTGCTCGATCTACTGACTTTCTCCAGCATTCTGCTTGTTTAATACACATTACAAGCTATCATAAATAGACATTAATAATTTCAAACATATTTTCAGTTTCAGCCATTCACCTCATTTTCATTACAATTTTTACTCAATTTAGGAAAGATTGCAAGCTATCAAATGCAAGCCCTGCAACATTAGAAGTAGCTTCCAAAATTATACTAGCAGCAACTTGTAGAACATTTGCAGTGAAATTAGTAACCCAACTGCAACAGTATTTCATTAAATTATCATCTCATGTCATTCCGTCTTTTCTGTGCTATATCCATCCCATTCCTTTCATCCCTCTTGCACGATTCCCATTCCATTCCTTCTGCCCATGCCAATCCTCATCCCTCTCATGTCTATTGTATACCTTCCATGCTAAATCCCCCTTCACCCATGCTGTCTAACTCAACATCGCTCATGCTGCTTCCCCCACTTTACTCATGCCATTCTCTCCCTCCTGATACTGAACCCAACCAAATGATCCCTCTTCAGGGTTTGAGTGAAGGTTTGTAGCTGAGGTGCTGGTTGAAAATGTTGATGGGTTCACTGAACTGGGAGATTTGATAGCAGATGTTTCGTCCCCTTACTAGGTGACATCCTCAGTGTGCTTCACAGGAGGCTCCACAGCACCGAGGGTGTCACCTAATAAGGGGACGAAACGTCTGCTATCAAACTTCCCAGTTCAGCGAACACACCGACATTTACATATGATCCGTATCCTAACCTCTATAATCCCTCCAAGCAGGATAACTTTGTTATCAGGCTCCCCTCATCTTCATTCCGGCAAAACATCTGCAGTGAAATTAGTACCTTTATTATTGTTCTACCCCTGTGGGATGACATATTCATAGAATCACAGAATCCCTACAGGGTGGAAAAAGGCCATTTGGCCCAACGAGTCCACGCTGACCCTCCCAAGTGCATCCCACCCAGACACATCCCCCACCTCATCTGTGTAACCCTACATCTCCCATGGCAAAAGCACCTAACCTACACATCCCTGAACACTATGAGTAACTTAGCATGGCCAATCCACCAGAGTCCACATCTTTGGACTGTGGGAGGAAACCGTGGCACGCGGCAGAAACCCACGCAGGCATGGGGAGAACGTGCAAACTCCACAGAGTCACCTGAAGGTGGATTCGAACCCAGGTCTCTGGCACTGTGAGGCAGCAGTGCTAACCACTAAGCCACCATGGGGGGTTGATTAGATATATTGGCCCAAACGTTCTGAACTGGAGAGGTAACAAAGTCTTTCAGAAATGTTCTAGATTATTGAATGACATCTGCCTTGAGTAATGTGAAATTTATATACATCATTCCTAAAGTTTGGATTTCAAAATACTTCTTTGAAGTGTTTTTAAAGAAAAGGACATAGGTCAGACTGTTCTTAAGAATAGTGGCCTCACCTGGTATGCATCAGAGAACAGGTGATCGAGTTCCAAGAACATTGATGGAAAACTGTACTCTGGTGGTTTATGTCAGGTAGAGTACACATTAAAGGCTTTGAACCAATGTTCAGGATTGATTTTAGCTTACAAAGCACAGAGACAAAGTTTTTAGGGCAGTTTGGAGGAGCCCTGACCAGGGTCAGAATATAGCATAGACTCTCGCCTGGAAACGAGATGTTTTAGAGTGGATCAGGGAAGACATAGTTACCTCAGTAGAAAGTTTTACTTTTTGCAACTTCCAGACCAAGTCTGTTTGGTTAGAAATCTGCCGATTATCAAAACTGAGAAAGTCTAAGATTTCAGTTTGGTGAGTATTTCTAGATTATTTTTTTTAAGAGTTCCTAGATTATGTTCAGGAAAATTTTCTGCAGCAGTGTGTGACTGGTCTAACATGAAAGGATGCACTATTGGACCTGGTTCTTGGAAGTAGGTGGGCAAAGCAGATCAAGTATCAATGGAAACATTTAGGAAACAGTGTTCATTGTACTGCCAGAGCTAGGATGATGATGATAGAAAAGGACAATAGGCAACCCAGAGTAAGAATAACTAACATGAGAGCTGACTTCAATGGGGCTCAAAAAGCTAGGCCAGATAAACTGGAGCAAAAGATCGGAGGGAAAAAAACTGTGGTGGAATCATAGGCTATCTTCATAGAAGGGAAGCTTTGGGTACAGTCAAGGTATATTCCTTCAAAAGGAAAAAGGATCTCAAACAAATCTGGAGCTCCTTAGATGAAAAAGATATCGAAATTAAAATAAGTGTCTATAGACAGTTATCAGGTAGGAAATACAATGTGAGTGGTCTGGGTGTCTGGAATGCACTGCCTGGATTTGTGTTGGAGGCAAGCTCAATTGAGGCATTCAAGAGGACATTAGAAATTATTTGAAATCGAAAGAATGTGCAAGGACATGGGGAAAAGGCAAGAGAAAGGCATAAATCACAATGCTTGGTTTATAGCTAGTGTCAATATGATGGACTGAATAGACTCCTTCTATGCTGTAACACCGCGAATTCTACGGAACTTCACTGTTCACAGGACAGAAACTGTGGCAAGCTTGTTAAGTAGAACTTAAATATTTTCTATAGAGGGAAAAACTACTTTGTATTTCAATTGCAATAACTGGATGTTGTAGCCAAGAGGTTGAAACTTGGTTTTGCTGGCTGATTTATGATTTGCTAAACTGTTTTTTTTTCTGAAGAGTTTTTTGTTTTCTATTCAGATGTTAAAGAAACCCTGTGGTATCATGTGACTATGCTTCAGTGACTGACTAATACATTCACCAATTTTTAAAAAAAAATCATATATCAAGCTGGGTTTCTCGAGGATCTGAACTGTCCAGTAATACTATCCCCTGGGATCACAACACTAATGTCTAACCACAAGTCTGCAAACTAGAAAACACCACAGAAATAAGTATTACCTGAGGCATAAAATGGTGATCAAAACCTTACAAAGCGGAAACAAAAATTGTTTTACTTATCTAAATCCTGTATCTTCCATGTTTCTGTCCTGACATTCCGCATTAAAACGTCGCTGATGTCATCTAGAGTCTGCTCACAAAATTCCGGATAACTGGAGCTTCCAAACAACAGGTTTGTGGATTGAAATGGTTATAACACATTTTAAAACTTGATTGTAACATTTGGATACTAAGAATATATGGGCATTAAAATGCTGGTCTAGCCAGCAATATTCACGTCCCATGAATGACGAAAAAATTATATATCAAGCCATTGCCTACCATATCAAAAGACTACAGACAGACAAAGACAAAACACAATACCGAGAAAACATTCTCTCTGCCAATGTTGTAATATAAAGAGCATTGCTTTATCATTGCCAAAAAAATGAACTATCCACAAAACACTGAACAATACAATAGATTATGACAATGGTATCTCGACATTTAAGATTTAAATGTTCAAGAAGATGATGTCAAAATCAATGAGAATTGTGATGTCCAAATGATAAAATGATTTAAGTCCAATTTGGCCACCCAAAGCACAATAAAGAATGAGTGAGCACCACATCAATGGCTGTCATTCCAAAAGGAACACGTCATTACTTATCAGAAAAGTGAACTAAGTTAGTTTATGGAAATAAAACAAAATTTTCATCAAGGCCGTACTGTATTGGAAGAAAAGGATACAAGCTCTGGTAGAGGGGTATAAGTGACTTCACAGCTCGACTGGCATTGATGCCTGTGGCACGAACAAGACTTGGCAGAAGTTTTTCATTCACAATGGCTCCATCAAAAAGAGGACCAAAAAATGGGACCTGAAACACATTAGGCATTTGTACAGTTATGACACTATATGTAGTTCAATACTCACATCAAGTGAGTTAAGTTAATTGCTGACTGCAACATGTACAACTTCTAACATTCATCAGATTTGTGTTCTGTGAAAATGTACAAAAGCAAACAGAAGCCAGGAAAGGACCAATTGTCTCATTAAGCTAATTCATTCTATATATAATCTACCTATAGGTCATACTAGTACATTAATAATGGTTGTTGAAATCTATCATATACATGATAGCAAGAGTTTTAAACCATCAAATGTATGTGTTATGGCTGAACCTACTGCACAATTACCTGTTACTGCTTTTATAAAGGCCAAATTTGTGTTGTTATTAGCATATTTAAATTAGGCTCCCAGCAGTGAAAGGATGGCAGGGATAATCTGATTTCTGACAAGAAACATTACCAAAATTGTTTGAGAGTCAGGAGGAGGCAGGAAGGTTCCTCCAGTCATCTTCATATCTTAATCCATACATACATACACACACACTTATATCTGCCATTCGCTTTACCCCTCACCTTGACCCTCTTCCAGCACTTGAATTGTCTTCTTGTCCTTCACTCTCTCAGTATGTTCAAATGCAAAGATGACAATGCATCATTGTTACCCAAATCCCCAGTACAGCCACTGCTGTCCAATCAGTAACTCCCTTCCAGCCATTTGTCCTACTATTCAAAGCAAGGAATTTATGAACGATAACTAATTGTTGTATCTCCAAAGACTAAGGCTGCACATTAGAATTGCTCACCAGCAGGTTTGAAGGTGGGGTGCGGGCACTTAAGATCCAGTGGGAAGCCTTCTGGCTGCCTTAGGGCTCACCCCTGACATGTCTGAAACTTTTATGGCAGGTAGAGTAGGCATCACGACCATTAGTAAAGGTTCATACCAACTCACATAAGGAGGCATTATTACAAGTGACCAAATACTCAAAGTGGTAGATTTTAAAAGGTTTCACAGAATCTCTATAGTGTGGAAACTGGCCCTTCGGCCCAACAAGTCCTTACCAACACATCCCCCTATAACCCACCTAATCTCCACATCCCTGAACACCACAGGCAGTTTAGCATGGCCAATCCACCTAGCCTGCATATCTTTGGACTGTTGGAGGAAACTGGAGCACCCGGAGGAAACCCATGCAGACACTGGGAGAATGTCCAAACTCCACACACAGTCGCCCAATGGTGGAATCGAACCCGGGTCCCCGACGCAGTGAAACAGCAGTGCTAACCACTGAGCCACTGTGCCGTTTCGACCTCTCTCTTAGCCATCTAAGCCTCATCTTCAGGGCCTCATTCATCTTTCTCATTCTCCCTCAACCTCTGCTTGTTCACTCTCTCAGCTTATTCAGCAGCTCCGTGAGATCCTTGACCTTTGCACTAAAAATGCAACATGCCATCTTGGAGTCACATTTGGAGGTGCAGAAGTGCCCATCTGTTCTTCTCAGTATTCAATAGTAAGAATACTTCTCTTCCATTCTTCCTCCTCTGCTTGTTCAGCTAAGCCATCCATGGTGCCGTAGACTTAGCTCTGCCTGCATTCCTCAAAGGAACCACTATTTTTACTAATTTTCAGAACAGTTCATTTTGGAAGTGATGACTAGAATCCATTGCTGTCTTAGATGCTAATCCTAAAGCTCAACATAGTAGCATTATTCCAGCTTCAGTACTCCAAATTCTGCCTGAATCTTTCTCACATTCCTACAATCTTAATATGTCCCTGCGGTCTCATTAAAATTGTGGGAATTTACATGAAAAGGGACCAGCAGGATCATATTATAATTAACCAAAAAGATTAATGGTAATTTCCTGGGATCAGGATCTGGTCATTCAACATCCCCTCAACACCCCCACTCAACCCTATTCAGTCATGATCTAATCCAGTGGTATATTGCATTTTAACTTCATCTGCCTGCCTTACTACAACAACTATCAACCCTCATGTTTTTAAATCCAAGTTTTTAAATTTTCATTTCAATGATCTAGCCTCAATAGTATTTTGGGGTGCGATATTCCAGATTTTAAGTACCAGGTGTATAAAGAAATGTTTTCTAATATGATGCATATGAACAAATGGTGGTGAATGAATGACGCACAATCGTTTAATATATTTAAGGCTGGGATTGATGCACTTTTAGTCTTTCAGGGAAATTGAGGGATATGGACACTGGGCAGGATTGATGCTCAAGTTCAACCATGATTGTGCTGAGTGATAGAGCATGCTCAATAGAACATATGATCTGCAGTTATTCTTGCTTCCATCTTATTTGATGTGTGACAACACCCAACAGCTTGGCTCTAATTTGACGTCCACTTTTTCTGGATTTCCCCCAGAGAAAATAATTTCTATCAATAGTATCAATTCCTTTAATCATCTTAAATATCTCAATTAGATATTCCTTTAATCTTCTATACTCAAGTGAATGCAATCCCAGTCAATGAAATCTGTTCTCATAATTTAATCCCTTCTTCCAAGCATCATTCTGATCAATCAATGCTACATTCAAAGCTCATCTATCCTTCCTGATATGCAGTGCCCAAAACTGAGTGCAGTACTCTGCATAACAACAGCTTTCCTAGCATTTTGCATTCAGTCACTTCCATTAGCCTTTTGAATAAATTTTGTGGCTACCTCGTAATGATTTCTGTCCTTGAAGCTCTAAATGTCTGTCCTAGCTTCATGCCATTTGGTAAATAATCTGATCTACCTTTCTTCGGTGTAAAATGAAAGACATCACATATTTCTGCTTTCAATACCATTTGCCACTGTTTTCTCTATTAACATAAGCAACTGAATCCTTTTACACCTTTCAAATTCCATCTATACTCTTTCAGCACCAATTAAATTGGTGTCATCAGCAAATTTGGATATATGGCTCCCTGTTCCTTTATTCAAGTCATTTATAAATATCCTGAAAAACTGAGATCCCAATACTGATCCTCAGGGAACACAATAAGCACAGCCTGTCAGTCGGGAGCATATAGGAATTATCCCTCTGTTTGAAATCTCCCAACCCATTTCCTATCTTCCTCCTGGTCTCAATTTTGTCTAGTCCCTCACGTGGAACCTTTCCAAATATTTTCAAGATAATGTTCATAAACACTCATTTATTTACTACATTAGTTACCTTTCAAAAAAGATTGTTAGGTTTGTTTGACATGGCTTACCCATTCAAATCCATGCTGGCTCTTTATGTTTCATTCATATTTACCCAAGTATTCAGACTTTCCACTCTAAAAACAGATTCTAATAACATGTCCACACCTGATGCAAAATTAATAGGCATACATTTTCATCTATTTCTTTTATCTTAGTTGTAGCCTAGTGACAAGCAATTTCCCAATCAAAAGTGGGCAATTCTTGAATTGGAGTTTTGAAAGGCATGACTGAAGCATTAGAATTTCCTTTCCTACTTCTTTTAATAGCCTAGGATGGCATCCATTAGATAGAGAGAATTTTATTCCCTTTATTCTCTGTGGACTTGGCTCTCCAATGTACGCTTGCTTGGTCTCCACTCACCCTTTGCAAACTTGAAGGAAACGAAAACACTATTTGCTTGTGTCCTACTCGGATTGTGTATCACTCATGTTCACTAACCTAAACTGGTCCCAAGGCAAGTACGCCTTGATTTTAACGTTCTTATCCTTGTTTTCAAATTCCTCCCTGGTCTTGCCTGTATCTGTCTGTAATCTCCTCCAGTTTCAACATTGGGATATCTAAATTCATTTTTTTCTGGTCTCTTCCGAATTTAAATCACCCACTATGGGATTTCATCTCCAAACCTTTCTGCCTGTCTACTTTCTTCCTTTAAGGCACTCCTTAAAACCTATCCCGCTTATTTAGCTTTCGGCCATCCGAGATAATATCATATCTTGTGGGGCTTGGTGTCACATTTTGTTTTATAACGGTCCTGTGAAATACCTTGAGACTAATAATGCTAAAGGTGCTAGATGCTAAATCACTGGATAGTATTTTTAATTTTTCTAATGCCTTTTGGTTTAGAGTAAAGTTTAAACCCCTCCTTAAAGTGTACTTGTACATTTCTCCACCACTTTATCCTACTGCCCTAACTTTAAAATACAGTGTCACTTGCTTTTGTCTTTAAGGGGCCCACTTACCTCTTAGCCATCCTCTTTCTCTGAATATACCTGCAAAAAACCTCCAAGTATTGTCCTTGCTATTTTTCATAATATTTTCATGTACTTCCTTTACCAGCTCATACTAATTTTTTTTCACCAGTGCAATCGAAAAACCTTTTACTTTGCATTTTATATTGCCATTCACTAATGAAAATTCTTCTTTGCGGTATTTTGGTACTATGATATGGAGGTGCCGGTGCTGGACAAAGTCAGAAATCACACAACACCAGGTTATAGTCCAACAGGTTTATTTGAAAACACAAGCTTTCAGAGTCTTTCTCCTCCTTCAGGTGTTAGAGGGACAGGTAGTATCAGACACAGAATTTACAAGCAAAAGATCAAAGGGTCACACCACTGAAGAGGATGTATTAAACAAACCTATGATGCTGTTAAATCTTTAATCAGTTAGAAGGTTTTAATTGATTAATACCAGAATTCCTTTGAAGTCACTGTCCTGAGAAAACTAAAGGTTTTATCAGTGTAAAGAGGTGACATCTTAGGTCAGACAATGCATATTAGGTATGAGGCCTTGTTAGAATCTGTTTGTGTTTTGTTTTGGAGTCAGATTGGTTTTATTTCTAAAGTAGGAATTTATAAAATGCCACATTGACTGACTATCTATAAATTGTGCTTTTTGAACAAAATAGAATGCATCTGCAAATACACATTCACCGCATAGATTGATGAGTTTGTGTCTCTCTCTCAGGTTTGTTTAATACATCCTCATCATTGGTGTGTTCCTTTGATCTTTTACTTATAAATTCTGTGTCTGATACTACCTCTCTCACTAACACCTGAATGAGGAGTAAGACTCTGAAAGCTTGTGTTTTCAAATAAA